AGAGAGAGAGAGAGAGAGAGAGAGAGAGAGAGAGAGAGAGAGAGAGAGAGAGAGAGAGAGAGAGAGAGAGATCCGTTTTTTTTCCCTATTCTTTCTACATTTTTGTCTTTGCGGGTGCAACTGGTAGTCTAGTCCTACATAACCACCTTGGTGCATTCCTGAGTGGGTGCAGCAAAGAGTAGGACAGTGCAGAGGGGTGAAGGGAACATTTGTAGTGGGAATAATGGCTGGGGCGGCAGGGGGAGGAAGGGAGGTGGATTTGTGGGGATGTGATTGAATCAACAAGCATGCCACCGTTGGGTGGTTCCGTAATGCGCCAACCATAAGTATTGAATAATTGCAATCAGGGGCTGACTGTGTCCGGGGGGGATCCAAGTCCTAGGTTGAGCTTTGCCATCGAACTTACGTGTTTGGACTTATTCCGTTGAGCGCTCTTTCTTCTTCTCTTGCGATCGATCACCGCTCGTCGTAGAATTGTCGATAGTCATGCTGACCATAAGCATTGAATAATTGCCAGCAGGTTCTGGCTGCTTGATTACCGTCGGGTGGTTTTATGATGCCAATAAGTATATTGAATAATTGCCAAAAAGGTCTGACTGACTGAGGAAAAGGTAGGCCATCGTTTTCAAACAGTGAACCTGTGAGCCACGCTAGCCTGCCCTTATATCGACGACTATGGTTGGTGATTGCTTGCTTGTTTGCTCAGTCTTATCACATTGTTTTTGTGCCAGTGGGTGTGGCTTGGGTGTGTGTGGACCGTCACTGGTGTGCTCGTGGTGCTTATGAGCATTTTTGTGTGTTGGTGTGTGGAAATGGATGGATGGATGGAATGGATGGGGGTATTTTGGGGGCGGTGTGGGCGGCATGGGCGGCTGGATGTATGTTTGGATAGGAAGTGGGAAGACCACATTGATGCAGAGGATGAATGCCTACCTACATCAGACCCGGGGGCGTGGGTATGTGATCAATCTGGATCCGGCTGTGTCGAGCTTGCCATTTGGAGCAAACATTGACATCCGCGACACGGTCGACTACAAGAATGTGATGAAGGAGTACAAGCTGGGACCCAATGGTGGAATTCTCACAGCTTTAAATCTCTTCTCTACCAAGTTCGACGAGGTTCGTCCCTCCTCTTGTGCCTCTCGTGCATCTCGCTTTCCCCCGCTTGCCATTCAAATAATTTAAGGAGCAGCTTACCTGTGATGGCATCTGAGGAGCACTCTTCTGTGTTCACAACTGTTGTCGCGTGCACTGAAGTCCTTTGCAACTTCTCTGTTTGTTTCTGTAGTCCTATGCCCCCTTCTTTGGTGGCTCTTTGGCCGCGTCGGCAATTGTTTGGACCGCTTGTCTGTGGTCCCTTAACTGCGTAGCCCTGGCCTTTCCAAGATGCTATGGGGAAATGTCAGGCATTGTCTGCAAAATGTTTCTAGGCGGTACTAGGCCTTTCCTCAGTATGTTTGGACTTAGTTTTTTTTGGCGCAAGGTGTTCAACGATTGGGCTATTCAGCCATTTCAGGGTCGAGGCTGTTGACATCTCCTCCTGGTAGGCATGCGTCAGTCGGCAAAGGACCAGTCCAAGTAGCCATCCACGATAGACTACTCGTGTGTTGTGTAAGAACCATGCCACAGATAAAGAAGTTGTCCAAGATGTGCCACTTGGTTGTGTGTTGGCTAAGGACTGGGCCAAGGACTGATCAGCGATAGGGTAAGCCATGTAAAATCGCAACTTAGGCTAGACATAAGGCTTTATGGGGGTACGCTATGAAGGATATGGCAATGTAAGGTCTGGAAGGGATCATCGAGAGGACGTTTGCAGTCGTCGCAAAAGGGAAAAAAGGAAAATAAGAGGAACTCTGACTACCGACCTCTACCATCAGGCGCTGGTTGGTGTGTATGTGTGTAGAGGTGTGTGTGTGTGTGTGTGTGTGTGTGTGTGTGTGTG